GACTGCAAGGAGGGAATTAAGGTTAATCAAGGTCATAAGAAATATTAAGGTGGAGCCCTAATCCACTATGACAAATGTAGGTAATTCTCCAAACACAGGAAAGATTTTTAAAAGCTGTAGCAAAAGAAAGACCAATGTCTATTCCACTTCTAACATATAGGAGGTACAGGGGAAATGCCACAACAAATATGACTTTTTTATTTCTTATTTTACTTCTTGAATTCAAGCTTTTCTGGCACCACATTTTATTATTTTCCTTGACTCTTATCTGTGGTTTCATTGTATAATGAATAATATCAAATGCAGTAGCAGCAACAAGAGCTACAATAGAACACTATAATTTCCTAAGTTTCAAATCCAATATTTGCTGTTACTGAAAATGACCCTGAGCACAGCAGTACATATTATACACACAAATGCTTCTGCATATACATGTATGCATATATTTTCTGTGCTCTTACAGATGAGAAAACCAAGGATCCAAGGTCTAGTGTCAAATAGTCTTAACAACCAAGTGGCAAAGTCCTAATTTCATAGGTGTTATTTTGGAGCTCATTATTTTAATTAAAATACTAGTCTGTCTCTCATTAGACTAGTAAACCATTAATAAATACTTCTGAGTATCCAGAAATATGCATAGCTTTATGTATCAATTGATATAATATGCACTTGAGTTTTCTGGGTAGCTACAAAATATTATATGTCATTAGGCACAGAATTTCTAAATACAGAATATGCATTTTGACACATTATCTTTCAAGCTAGATATAAGATATCCAAATGCAAAGTTCCCCAAGAACAATTACTAAAATCCAACACATTTTTATTCTTGGAAAATATATATTAGTCTCTTTGAAAAGAGTTGAATAAGGAGTAGTTACTGCTTTGACCCTTCAGAGCCTGCTTTTCTTCAAGGCACAGTATCATCCTTTCATTAAGGAACTTCTTTCTTATTCAGATACAAATGACTAAGGCAACCAATGTTTGACCCTCACCCATTCACTGCTTGAAGGCACATGCAAAGCAGTATACATGTTCCCTAAATTTGCCAAAATAAAACATAGGGAACAGAGGTAGTCTTTCTAATGGCCAATTGGAGCCTGAAATATGAGGCTGAGTTGTCTATGGCCAATACAAAAAGTGCAACATGCAGGACAAATAGAATCACTGGTGCTAGTTGACCTGGAGGACAACGGTATCTATGCTCCTCCTCTTATTTGTGTACATGAATATTTCTTCAGATCTTAAAATGTTTGAATCAATTTCTGTCATTTGCAACTGAAATTCAATCACATAAACTAGGTTATCTTTATAAATTAGTAAGTGAAAGTCTCATGTCCAAGGCAATAGTTTCTTCAGTTTTCTGCTAAAAGAGCATTTGGTAAAAATCTAACATTATTTGCACTAAATTATCAGCCCTCTGTAAAGAAAGAATCTTCTGGAATAGCTTCAAAGATCTAGCATACATGCAAGGCAACCTTGACCCATAACTCTTTCCATTCTTGTCTTGGGAGAGAAAGAGATATTTAATCATGGAAAACTCCAAAGATGTGACTTGACCTCTACTATGTGCTTCAAAGTGCCTGCCTCTCACTTTTCTTCCCATGAAAACTAGTAAGGATGATATCCAGCATACTTTCTTTTTCATTTGACATGTTAAAGGCTGCTTTTGTCCAACAGAGATCTGACAAAGTACCTCCTGCACAAACATCCTTATGACATAAGCTAAATTGAGTAAGGACATTTCATACTATGCTCTTGTCCCCATGTAATAATTTACATACATTACATAACAGTTATACAACAAACAGGGCTTCATGTTTGCAATGACCTTTAAGTTCTTTGACGAACAATTCTTGCAGGCTTAACAAATATTGTTTACTCTTTCAAAGTGTGGGGTAGGTCATGGGCCTTCCTCTTGTAGGTATGTCAGTGCAACATGGTTATTTCAGCAGAGAAAGGGAAGAGGGAAACTGTGCACCAGCTCAAACTGCTGTGTCCAGGAGGTGCTCAGGAGTGACATGTGTCTTCCCACTCACATTTTACTAGGCAAATCTAGTCACTGGCTTCAACTTAAGGGGAGAAAGCTGGAAAGTATATAGTAGTACATAGATATACGAAGAGCGTAATAGTTTCTTCCATGTTGTACCATGTTTCCTAGAAAAACTTTAGCAATATCTATAACTATTATGATAGATTAAAAAACCAACATAGCACATGTATGAGGTGTCCATAGCCTGCCTTCACAGGATTTGCCAAGTATACCTGCTAGACTTTCTGGGTTTTATAAAGGAAAGAAGAAAGTCCCAGCTGCCTCAAACACAGAGATAGAATGAGCTTCTCTTGATACTGCTGCTAAGAGAGGGTACTATATGAATTATATTAATCGTCTACCCCTTATGCAAATATTCAGAGCTCAAAGGAGAATAATATAGTGACCTTATTTATATTTTAAAAGGAACAGAAAAATACACATTGTACCTTATGTTCACCAACCTGCTGTGCTACACCTTTTGCTTCTTGGCCTCCAGTAAAATAGGCTTACTGGTCCAATGTTCAGTCCCTGTGAACTCTGGTCCATAGTAAAACCATAACCCCTACTTTAGCACATTTGGTAATTACTGCTCACATAAAACAGAAGAAAAAGCCAATTTTGCTCTGCAGAATAGCTAATTGTTTCCAGTCAGAACAGATTCCAGAGAAATCACGAGGTACTCATAAAGACTGGCAGCCCAAAATCTGTATTCAGTAACTGTGCAGCTAACCATACCTAAATTATCATTCAACAGAATTAACAGACAAACATTGCATTGGAAGACAACCCTACGGATTCACTGTTTCCAAACGAAATCCCCACATCCATCTAAGCAATGTAGCAAGTTTAAATTACAGTATGTTTTCTACTGCTACTTAGCAATGTATTAATGGGGTGACCACTGCTTGACCTATTTGCTGAAATTTGCTAAAACTCCACGAGACCATATGGATAACCAGATGGATTGCTGTAATTTGGTGCTACTATTCTAAAGATGAAGTAAGGTATAAACATAATTTGCATTCTTTTCCATCATTCCTGCATACCTGTTATTACTTTCATTTTTCATTCAGACATCAGAAGGGAAGATAATACCTTGCCACCGAGGCCCAGATGCCAACTAATTACTACAAGAGACTCCAGCCCTGATATCACAGGCCAGGTCTCAGAACATGCTCCATCCTACTCAATGACCCCATTTTGTAATTAATAGGTAGCCCTAATGTTATGTCAGATCTTGTTCTCGAGGCTAATTTAACTAGCATTATGTTGAGTAGAATATTTCAGTTACTTGGTAGAGACTCATGATACTTCATAGTTATACTATATGCTTTTTTACCTCATGGTCTTTGAATTTATTTTATAATCATCAAACAAAAAACATCTCTACAAATTGAGATCTTTCAAATACTAGATTAAAAATTTAATATTTTAAATCAAATATTGATTTTTTTTCAGAGACGCTTATTAAAATGCAAGTTTCTAGACTCTACCAAAAGAAATTCTGACAAGAGAGGTACAGGGTAAGGAATAGGGTTATGTACTTTGGATAAAATGTAATATTCAGACAGAGAAAATCTGTCCAACACACTTGAAAACCAAACACTTAAAGGTAACAGGACTGCTTATTATGCCTTAGATTATTAATTGAATCTAGCAGACTTTTTGTCCTGGATAGTTATATTTCTGAAAAAATTACCGGCATTGACACACACAAAAAAAATGTTTCCACATTAAGATTATAGCTTTCGGAACAAAGGTGTGTCTCAAAACATGGAGCACTTGCCTAGCAAGCATGAAGAAGCCCTGCCTTCAAACCCCAGTACTGCCAAAATAAACAAGCAAATAAATAATTACAGCTTTAAGTGTGGAAATTATTTTTATTAAAATATTAAGACCTAATTATCAGGATAAGGCATGGATATTTCTAAAAAGCTGTGTAAATGTATGATATCTATATCCAACAGTAGATATGTCAGAGAGTACCATTTCTATCCAACAGGCAAAGGGTAGGAATTATGCTTTTAGTTTTAAGGGAAAGGCCAAAGGGTAACAGAATTTCTGCAATTCCTGTTTCCTTCATAGCCATGGATAACATGCAAAATATTTTCACCCTGATAACTAAGGACGTGGGGCAAAATGCCAAGTACTTCCTTGGATCTCACCTAGATAATAATACTACACACTAAGTATTTCATGTGTTCCATTGTTTTCTCTTTTCCTTTTTGGTGTGTGGGTGTGAGAAGCAGAATTTTTCATTGACCTGCCTTAATAGCATTTAAAAGGTACCTTTTGATATTAAGATAAAAATGCATTAGTTTAACCTAGCCAATCCAAAAACCACCAATATATAAAAAGTGGAAAACATACCAATCATCACTAATACACACACACACACACACACAGAGTAGGATCAAATGTTTACTTTGGTTGTACAACAAAGAGACAACATCTTAAATCTTTATGTCACTGAGCAAATGACCTTGGTGGGGGTAGCAGACAAGTCACAATGTTGCAAGGAAGAGCATTTCATCAGGTTTGCAGAAGCCCTGGTTTAAATCTGGCTGTATATGTACAGGGGATGATACAGAAATCAGACAGCACAGTGATTAGATGTTTGAAATAGCAATTTTTATCTGCCACTAATGAGCTATTTGACTTAGGAAAGCTATTTTATTTCTCTGTTTCTTCAGCTACAGAATAGAGAGAAAGATGATAACACTTATTTCACAGGCTGTTGAAAGGATTAAGTCATTTCACACATGTAAAGTACTGAGAGCTTAGCTAACAGTAAATACTAAAAAATACTGGGTATTATAATTGAAGCTCTAACTCCCTCAATAAGAGCTACATTTCTTTACTTATAAAGTAAAGATATGGTAAAAGATGATTTATATAATATCTTTATATTCTGGGTTTGTTTGGGTTTTTGGCAGTACTGTGTGTGAACTCAGGTCTTTCTCTGCACTTGGTAGGCAGATCCCCTTGAGTCATGCCCATAGCCATTTTTTGCTTTAGTTTTCAGATAGGATTTTCCATATTTTGCCTGGGGCCAGCCTCAGACCAGAGGTAATCCTACCTGCAGAGTAGCTGGTATTTCAGGTGTGTGTCATCCTGACCATAAATTCTTATACTCTGAGTCTACATGTTTCTTTGAAGTTAACTATCCAGTTGAAAAATGAAACTTTTAAAAAAAATCCATACATTTTAACTATTGACTTTTGAAAAAATTTGTAAGGCAGTGTTCTGCTGTTTAGACTGATTTAAAGATGATAGATTACATAAAAATGAGTAAATTCCATTTTTAACATTCGGAAGTGAGATGCTTTGATTCATTCATTATCTCTCATGACTCATACCCTCATTTGAACATAGAACACACTAAGATAATTGTCAGGCAATCATTTAAACCAAAGACGTCATTATTTAATGAGTTCTGTGGCAATAAAGAATTATTTCACAGAATTCATATGACAACACTCCATTTTCACAGTGTAAAGAGAAATGCTTTCAGGGCCTATCAACAACTTAAGTTTTTTTTCATTCAGGAAAGCCAGTTCTGCTATGGAAATGCTTTTAGGGCCTATCAACAACTTAAGATATTTTTTCATTCAGGAAAGCCAGTTCTGCTATGATATATGTATCATATATCAACACTATAATGTAGCCTTTAATCCACATTAAGTGGAAAGGTGATTCCTTTGGAAATTCCATTTTGGTGTGTTCAAATAAATCTTTATTCAAATACTCTATATTCAACCTTAAAGTGAAAGGAATAGCTTAAAATTATTAACAATTGAGTTCTAACTACACTTTTGACCAATTTTAACTGACTATAATATGAAAACAGGACTTAGATTGACCAACACACTGCACGTAAAACATGTGGAAAGAAGATAACGTTTTCTTAACCCAGAATTCTATTTATCTCAAGAATCTTACCTCCTGCATACATAATAGCCAGCATAATGGATGATATCCACGCTATTTCACTGTAGCTAGCATTGAATATTCCCTGAATTTCTTTGAAGAATACTGTGACAGCTTTGGGGAATGCATAAGAAAATCCAATGCAGATAAAAGATGCTCCAACTACAACCCAGCCCCACCCTCCATCAGGAGGTGGGTGTAGAGGTGGAGGACTTGTTGCTGGTGGCATCTCTGCTCCTGTATTTGAAATTCAAGTAACCTATATGAAAAGAAAAAAGTTTAAACTTTATTTCCATTTTTATATATCACTCTTACTAGTTAATGAAACAGTTTTTTCTGGGTATAACTACAATATGATTTTTCATGAATAATTTTAATGCTCATACTCAGAAAATCTACACAAGCAATGTATGCACATGTGGACAAATGAACAAAAAAATTATGTGAAATATGTAACTTTGACTAGTATGAGCTGAATACTGAAAGCATTTAATTTGTGTATGGGAACAAAAACTACACAAATTAAAGTTAAGAATTTAGACCAAAGTTGAAATGCCTACCAAATAATAAAAGCTTATTTTCAAGTATAAGGAAAATCAAACTGCCACCATGTAAAAAAGAATACTTTCTTAATCCAAACTGTCGAAATTAAGATTTAATACATAAAGGTAAAAAAGGACCAGATATCAAATTTGATGAATTGCAAAGAATTAAATAGGCATATTTTAGGATTTTTCTTCTTTTAGTAATTGAGAATACTTAAAACCATTTCTGCCCAGATCTGATTTCTGAATCTATAGGATTAGAATTTATATAGTTTTTATGGAGTTACTTTGATCTTAATAAACTTCCCAAACCTGTGCTACTGATCATTTTATGAGTGACATATTTTATACACTTTTAATAGCAAAGAAATTCTACAATTTCTACAATATTCTACAATATTCTGGCAAGGAATATGTTTGTTTGTTGGGTTGGGAGGGTGGAGAAAGGGTTTTCCATTTGGGATATGCCTAAGAACACCTAACTGCTGGCTTTAAGGTATAGAACAACTGTGTTCCTGTGGAAGAAAATGAAATTACATAATGGTATATTTAAAATTACATGAATTTAATTAAAATCATCTTGGTTCCCTAGCATTTCTTTTTTCTTTTTGTAGTAGAGTGATGCTGTTTGCTTAACTTTTGCCAGAATTTCTCAGTATCTTCCTTATATTGCTCTCTGCTGTAATGTAGAGGAAAGAGAGAAGCACGTTTCTGTTGGTAAGATAATGTTGCAATAAATTAATAAAAACAAATTTTGCCATGTATTCAGAGAACCTAGCCTTCAACATGATCTGCTAGTGTTCTGTAGTGCCTTCTGTTATTACCCTTTTGGTTGGCTGTGTAGATTGTTCTAGTCTGCTATACTTTTTAAGTATAAACTGCACATATTTAACATATAGTAGGTTATGTTTTGATGTACATATTCAGAGTGAAATACTTATTACTTTCAATTTAATTAACATACTCATCTTTCACATAGTCAGATTTTTCTATTTTTATGGTAAATCACCTGAAGTCCACTGTCTCAACAAATTTCTGGTAAGCATACAGAATTATAGACTACAGTCATCATGTTGCATATTACAACTTTAGACTTATTCATCCTATGTACCTGCAAATTTGCACCCTTAGAACAATATCTCCTCTTTTCTACCATATACCCTACACCCTAGTAAATATGGCTCTGCTCTTTGCTTCTGTGAATTTTACTTTGTTTTTTTGTTTTTTCATTTTTTTTCCCTGTGGATGTACTGGGGTTTGAACTCAGAGCCTCATGTTTGCTAGGCTGAAGCTCTAACACTTGAGCCACTCCACCCACTCCACCATCCCTGAATTTGACTTTTTAAAAGTCTAAAATAAATATAAAAGTGAGCTCATGCTTATTTCCTTCAGCACTATGTCCTCTGAGTATATCCATGTTGACATAAATGGCTGGCACATCTCTACTGCTTTTGAATGAAATCAACAATAATATTTCATTAACTTTATAGAATAGACATAATTATATTATAAAACAAGGTTCTACAAGTTTTTCGTGTTAAGGACCAGGCAATAAATACTTGAGATGTTGCTGCCTATCTGGTATCTTTTGTAACTACTAAGCTTGACAGTTTTAGAACAAAAGTTGCCATTAAAAATACTAATAATAAAAGGACATGGCTGTGTTCCAATAAAATTTTACTTGCCAACTAGGTTGACAGCTGGATTTTCATGATCCCTGTATTATAACATCAGAAAACCTACTGGGCATCAGTGGCTGATGATTGTAATTCTTGCTACTTGGGAGGTGAGATCAGGAAGATGACAGTTTGAGGCCAGTCTGGGGAAGTAGTTCATGATACCTCATCTCAAAGCAACCAGAGCAAAATGGACTGGAGGTGTGACAAGCTGTGGAATGCTTGCTATGCAAGTGCAAAGCCTTGGGTTCAAACCCCAGTCTCACTAAAATATATATATATATATTAGAAAACCTAAAAGAGAAAAACAAAATCACACACAATTATACTATTCTATCAGCCATTATTAAAATTTTTGCATGCCTTTTCCTTATCTCTCTATATTCACATTTATAATATATTAAATAATACTGTAATCTTATGAATCACAAAAATAGAATTGTATTTTTAATATTAGGATTTCTTAATTGTTATTAGCATTTTCTCCTGTAGCAACACAATTTTTAGACAATATAAAAAGCCTGAAGAGTGAAAATCAGAACTAAAAATTACCAAAGTCAACCTTCAGCTGTCACCATGGTTAATAGAAAACCATATGACCTAATTTTTCTTTTTTTACATAAATTGTATATTCATATATTTATTAAAAAGAGCAATAGCCAGTTACTGTTTTAAAAGAAGTTGACAAGTGTGCCTTCCATTCTCTTAGACAGTGCGAGTGAAAAGAAACATCTTATAATTTAAAATCTTATAAATGTTATGCAAAAGGCAAATCCCTTTGATTTTTCCAAGAAACAAAAGAAGTACAATAATAAATTATTCTTGACTAAATAAATGCACATGTAAACCCACAAAAAAATGGCTCTACATGCAATAACAGTAATTAGATGGAAAAGCTTCAAAAGTTCAAATGTATTATCTTTTACCTTACTGACTCTTAAATGTATGTTATCTAAGTTAATCTATAGTCCAATTTATAGGTATACAAAAATGTATAAAAGGATGTACCTCAGTAAATATTGAGTACTTATGACGTTAAGTGTTTATTATCTCCAGTAAATATTTATTTGTTAATTTAGAATCCACAAAAATCACTTGGTACTTTGTCTATTTTTAAAAAATGGGAGAAATTTCAGACTTGTTAAGAAATTTGACCTAAGTAAAAAAATAATGTCAGGGACTGGATTTCACTCATCACAAGTGACTATAAACATAATATAAATAGAATTAGAAATAAGACTACTGAGTAATATGTTCAGTGAGAAAAATAAGCAAAAAAACCCACCTGGCATTTTTATTACGTTTTGTCTGCATTTCTAAATATTCTTAAGGGTCAAAATAGTCAATGGTATTTGATTATAAAAACAGCAAAAAATATAATAACTTCTTTTCATAAAAATTGTTTTGTTTGTGTTTTAAATGCTCCCCCAAATGATGATGTGTGGAAGGCTTGAATGCTAGCCTTTGATGCTGTTGGAAGTGCTTAAGGAGGTGGAGCCAAATGGAAGGAAGTTAGGTCACTGGGGTGTGCTCTTGGAGTGTACATTGAGACCAATACCCTTTCTTTCTTTCTCTCCTTCTTGGACCCTAGAAGGTGAGCAGCTTTGCACATCATGGGCTCCCCGTGATGTATTGCCTCATCACAGGCCCAAAGTAACAGGACTAAGTAAATATGAACTGATACCTTATTCTTAAGAGAGAAGAATTAATGTTTCTTCCTCTTAAGTTGATTTGCTTAAGTATTTTGTTACAGCCAAATTCCTCACACAAATTTACATTTGTAAATTAAAACCCTACTAAAACTATTAAGGAGATTGTAACAATAAGGCCAAATGAAAAGCTTCAATCACAGATAAATAATGCACATGATGTAGATCTTGGTTCATCCTGGTCATCAGTGAAAACACACTTCTATTAGATGAGTATTCTACAGAGGTTAAAACCAATCCAAAATGCCACCCTTTATCAAGTATTATTTTTAAAAAGTTTACATGTATTCAGTATGTATACAGTCTGCTTTTATAATAATTTTTTTCTTTCATGGAAACAATACAAATTATCTATCTATCCATCTATTTCAATGTAGAGATAGGCTTATTTCTGTTATTCATTTTACTATACATGGGCACTAGAGATAGTATCTTTAAAATGTATAATACTTAAGAAAGAGAGTGAAAAAGAAAGAAAGGAAGAAAGGAAGGAAAGAAAAAAGAAAGGAAGGATATGGATTGTAAGTATTGCTTAAATAAGCAGACTAGAGCAATTGCCCTTTGAAAGTTGTCTAAACAATATGAATCTATATATTACTAAATTCTTAAAAAGAATTTTGAAAATTATTTTTATTTTTGAAAAGAAAACCTAGAGAAATACTGAAGACATGCAAAAAAGCATTTATGTGGTAAACTACTTTTTATTTTAAAGTCAATATAAAAACAGTTATGAGACTTAAAGACCTCACTCTGCAATTTTCCTGTTGGCCTAAAGGAAACAAAACTGCCTTTCATTACTAATTCATGTGTTTAAACTACTGTAGTTTTATTAAATCTGCTAAACATGTAGAAGTAATACTGGGTAATTCTTTTTCAGTCATTTCAAAAATCATAAATAATATTTCTAAATAATCTTAAAGTCATACTGTTAAATCATATCAATGGGACTATTATAATTGAATAATTATGTTACATTACAAATGTAAGTATTGAAATTTATTAATGATTGAAGAAGAAGTCGAAATTTCCATTTTACACACATGAGAGAATGGCCATAGAAAAGTGAAGGGTTTCATGTAGAGTCACAATGAGCACTTGTCATCCCTAGCATAAATTACATAAATTTGAACTTTCTAGGTATTAAAATATGCCCTACCTTAAAAATATATCATTCTTATATCAAAATAACTTAAAATCCCACATCTGCTAAAATACTGTACTTAGTGTGCTCCTGAGGTTGAAGTAAAAGAGGAAATTTATATATAAATTATTAAATGAAATAGTGTATGCTTAGTTTAACTTAGGGATCTGTTCAATAAATCATGGTTGATGCTAAATGTGAAGTTATCAGTCTCTGTAGAAGTGCTTAACAATTTTAGAGCCTTCTGAAAATAACAATAGGTATTTTTAATCTGACAGCCTCTATGTGCCCTTTCCTGACCATGGTATCTGCCCTCTAACAAAAGACAACTATTAATTTTTGGGGAACATCATCTTAAGTGAACTTAGGCTCAAAAAGCCAAAAATCTCATGTTCTTCTTCATATGTGAATTATAGACCTAAAACAAATGCACTAATATTATTGGATATGGATCACAGACTAAGGGGAGACAGTGCATGGGACGGATAGAGAAAGGGAAGAAAACAAAAAACTGGAATGTGGTTGATGTACTCACTGTATAGGAGCAAATATAGTAATTTTAAACTGGCAGAGGCCACTATGGGAAGGTGACTGGGAAGTAGTGGAGAGGTCTGGTAGAGATGAACCAATGTGGGTTGCAATACACTTGTGCATGGAAGCAACACAAGGTATCTCTCTGTATAGCTATCTTTATCTCAAACTAGCAAAATTGCCCTGCTTTTCTTATTATCTTCTATGTTTTCTCTTCAGCAAAATTGGAGAACAAGAAGGCAGAATAAATTCTGCACGGAGGTGGGGGGGTGGCCCAAAAAATGTAGACACGTAAGTAAATGTAAAAATAATAACATAACATTTTAAAAAAAGAAGAGAAAGATATGAAGAAGAAAGCAAACAATACTAATATTGTCTCCAAAATAAAAGTAATAACAATAAAACTCCTTTGTGTATTGCCTAAATGATAATAAAAATTAAATAGGAAAAAAAAGACACCTATTCCAAGTTATATGACAGCCTTTAACTTAATTTTATTTATATAACATATGCATGTTTATATATGTATGTGTACGACTTGCTTGTTATATATAAGCTATACATTCTATATTATATGTAAAATTTTGATTATATAAAGATATAAATGTATAAGCCAAATGAGGAAAATTTAATAGTAATTTAATAAATATATATAAACATAAGTTATAAGTTAAATATACATGCTTATTTTCATGTGATTCATTTATTTGTATTCTTCAAAACAGCATTTTGACTTAATATTATATTTTACGTTTACACTTGATTCATCTACATTTTTTAATCGGATGCAATGCTTCTCATTATTCATGGAAGTTGTGTTCTATAAAGTTATCCTGAACATTGAATTAGCTAACTCTGACTGCTCATAGGAGAGATAAGAGATTGTATTTCTGTGAGACTTTAATCACATTTTCATCCATCAATACATAATCTTGTTTGATATGCATTTCTGTTTGAAAGTACCTTATTTAATATATTTTGTTGCTTCACTAACATTGAGCTTAAGGTCAGTAGTATTTAACCCATACCTAAAAGAAGCCTATCTAATACAAATATTTTCTCTATAAAGTACATCACAGCCTTCCTTTTTTTTATTGTTTTGCTGGGTGGGGATACACTGTGGCATTTACAAATGTATTAAACATATAGCATTTGAATTCACCCCCTCCACCATTCACTTTTATCTCCCCCATTGCACTAGGAATACCAGCAACCCCTCAGCAACACTAGGGAGCCATTTTAAACAGCAATATCACCAAGAAAAAGCACAAAAATATGGAAAACATGGCATTAAGTAGGCTGCAAACGGATTCTTTGTTACTATGATAACTGAAACAGGAAGGCAAAGTCTTGCCTGGAATTTAGGACTTTTAAATGCGACAAGTACAGATAATAAGGAAAAATGTATCGCCCACAGTCCTCACATTAAGTCCCCACAAGACATCTTTTAGCTAATGAAAGTTCTGACCTCCATATCCACTTCCATAGACAATCAACTTTCCCATTTATTTAGATACTGTCCTCCAGGAAGATCATCTAGGAATTCTGATTTCCACTCCCAATCAAATTCATTGTTACTTACTGCACATTGTCTGATATTGCATGTTTATCCTTTGAATCATCAACTGTTTGACTTGTCTCTGCTTTGTTATGAAATTCAACTTATTTTCTTAGATAATACACACATCAATCCTTTCAAAAGTTACCTTGCCTTTTTCATTATTATTAAAAAAGCATTATACAATTGAGCCATTTTTCTCTTTAATCTTCTTTCTCCATTTTTGTACTGTTTTCTTAGTTTATCCATTTATTGTCACAGTATGTGATTATTTTTCTGTTCCCTAAGAATATTTTCCTAATTCTAATTAGAATTGCATGCTCCAAGTTGCAAGTCACAGTTCATATACCTCTTCACTTTCTTATCTACTACCTACTTTGTTTCCTTCATATAAAGTGACATTTTATAATCTCTTGATTCATTAGAACGTGGATCCAGACCACTTAGCCTTTGGGAATTTTCACTTCTAAGATACTTACCTGCTCTTTTTTAGAAGCTGTTGAATTGAGTTAACAGATAGATCCAATTCATACACACACACACACACATTGGCCCCATGGTTTTCTTTAGACACAGTTAAACATTTGGAAGCTGTTGTGCTTTGTTCCTTTTATTGTGGGATTAGCAAAGAAAAATAGAGTTAAAAATAGAATTTTACCTGTTGAAAGATGACTACTTTTGCAGATATCTTTGGGTTGTATGTAGAATCTTCAAGCCTGTTTGCTTTACATTGAAGTGTAATATTTGAAGGCAATACAAAAGAAGAGAGGTAGAGCAGATTCTTGATTATCTAAAAACACAGAATACAAGTATTACACGTTCAACTGAATTCCACAAGCCTCACTACGGCCAATAGCTTTAACCTACCCCAATAATTGTCACCATCTTTAAATAATTTGCAAAATTTAATATATGTGTATATGTATATCTATTTGACAGTCCATTAATAGAACCAGTTTGGTATCATCAAAATGGTCAAATATATGCATGAGAAACAAAAAGGAAAAGTATAAGCTAAAGAAGAATCAAATTTCTTTTCTAAAAAAGTAAATGAGTAGATTATATACCTGCCATTATGAATAAGAAAACTTTCTGTCATTCATCAGTTGTCACTTAAATTCCTACATTATTTAAATAATTTGTTCCATAATTCAGTCAAATAAACATTCACTGACAATGGAAATAATTAGAAAGTTTAAAAGAGAATTGTTAGAACTATTGTTGATAAAAATGCATGTTTTTAACAATGAGTCAAAATGGGTTGTAAAAAGAAACAAAAATTGTTTTAGGTGACCTTTTTTCTTTTTTTCTGGCAGTACTGGAGTTTGAACTCAAGGTCTCCTGCTTGCTAGGCAGCTGCTCTAACACTTGAGCCACTCTGCCAACCTTTATATAATTTTTGTTTCAGAATCCAAATTTCCTGATCAGGTCTGGGTGATAGATGAATATGCTAAATCTCTAATACATCAAATATTTTTCATTTCAACCTCAATATGGTGCTGAGTACATACAATCTAGTACTAAGAAGTAATTTTGTTTGAGTTAAGCTTTCATTTGACTAGATTAAAGCTAATAAAAAGTCAATTATTTGAATTAAGCAACCAATCTTCTGTCTTGCATCCAGAGCCACCAATTCTAAAGCACTGAAGGAAGACAAAGACGCCACCAGGCCAAAAGAGGACTAAATGAGAGGATGAAGAAAATGTGATCTTTACATCATGTCAGTGAGAAACTCACAGTAGGGACCAGAACAAAAATGAGTAAATGGATTTTGAAAGTCACTGATACAATCTGAGAAGCTGACAAGAATAGAACTGAAGCTTTAACTTGTCCTAAGAATGAAGTGCTCACACTCAATTGGTTCCCCTGGGTATGGAGTAGGGGCAGTGAGAAAAGTGTCACCTCTGGTCCTCCAGGAGCCTTGGGATGAGGAATTGTGCGTTCCATGTATTTCATCTGGCAGAGTGAACATCCTTGGGTTCAGAGCAAAGCATCAGAGGAAAGCCTGAGGCAGCCGTAAATATTGGGCACTGACCCTCCAATTTATGAATAATTATACTCACGGCCTATACATACCAGTTTAGAGACTGGAACAAGATTGATCTTGAAAAATTCTTAGGATGCTACAAATTCTACCTCCTAGCCTTCTGTAAAGAACAAACCATATCCTGAGTTTGTTTTAACAAATGTGTCAATAATCTGGAAACTTCCTGCTTAATAGTCATACCTGCTAAAATCTATGTTGCATTTGTTTCTCTACTAGCCTATCATGGTCTATTTTTTAACCTATCACCATCTACTTTACACACATTTAGGCAGATCTATAAGACATATATTGGTTTTGTTTTAACAATGAAAGATGTTTTAAAATTTACGTGTCTGATTAAAAAGCCAGTAACAATTCTTAAGCAAATGGAAAGGACTTGTTTTAATTTTGGATGGTAACTCTTTCAGGCACAGCTTCTCCAACTAGGCATAAGGCTTATTCTCAGACACAAAGGCAATGTTAATTACTGTAGCTAACAATTAAGACACAAAATTTGCTAATTTTATTTCTTAGCAATCCCCATGCATGCCATACATATCACACGGTACATGACAAAACAATGCTTCAAATTTCTCAATTTTTTCTAAATATTTAATTAATTGATTTTTATAATCCCATGAACTTAGAGATGCGATTCTGAATCACATTTCATAATAAAATCAAAAAAGGATTAGAGGTGCAGAATGAGTTTTACAAAGTGTAATGTTTAGTAGATAACCAACTTGGTACCATGACCAATATCTGTTTACTTGTCCATTGTTGATGATTCAACTTTAACACACCAACTTGAACTCTGATCTTTCCACATATGATTATATTTCTTCAGTTTTATTCTAATGGTGAATCTCCAAGTCTCAATTCTTGCCCATGTTCTTGTCCATCAGAATTGATATACACTTTTTGAAACTCAAAAGTGACAACTTCTCCAAAGTCTTAAAATTCATCATTGTTGTAGCTTACTTCTATCTTTGCTTTCTATGATGTTTTTGAGTCAACTGGTTATATTATTACCTTTAACAAAAGGAAGACTTGAGGGCTACTGAAAACATCTGACTCTTTCAAGTGATTTTCAACAACTTATGTGGTGGCACATGTATAAAAGCCTAAGAACTTGGTTTTGTCTTTGTCTTCTAGAATCAATGAGTTGATTAATTAGGTTGATTAATCTATAGAGAAGAAGGTATAGGCCGAAGAGGTAATTAAGTTATTAGTGATGATCAATGACTAGCCTCTAGTAGATTCCAGGCGTTTTCTCATTCAGTTTAATAGACTATTTGAATATTCCTTTATAAATTTTGTCAATAATCCTTTTATTAATTTCCCAAATCTAAGCCAGCATGCATTAGTTCTATACAACCTTATCAATGGTCTACTCCATCCAGAAGTTTATCTTTCAAACTAAGGTCCAGAAATACTATACTCAGCAAACTAAGTCCCAGATTAAATCAATAGGAATTAGAAGACTATTGGCTTCACTGTATCTCCAGCTGCCTTATAGTTAATGCATAGGCTTTCCTTCAGATCATACCTAAATAGTGGCCAATGTTTTCACCTAAGTAAATTAATGTATTCCTTAAAGAATAATCTACTGATCTTTCTGCTCTCTATTTTCTTGTTCTTATACAAAAGGATATAGCAAAACAAATTAATGTACAGTGTTTAAGTTGAGGTGACAACTCGCCTAACTTTACAACAGGAATTAAATTGAACCAAATCTTTTTTTTTCCAACCTCTAATTGAATTAAAATTGGAATCTAATCCCAGGAGGCTATTTTACTCTTCAAAGTGGACCATCTTTTAAATCCTGTTGACTGATTTACTTTGACATATAGACAAGAAAGATATCAGTAGTGCATGGACCACAAAACCTATTTTTACATATAAAATACTACTATAGCTAAAATGACTGAGAATTTGAAGTGATTATAAGGGTCAAATGATTTAAAGATGCTTTTAGAATGGGCAAATTAAGAAAATTAATATATATTGGTATATCATTATGAAAAATGGGAAATGAATATCCCATAGTAAACAATTCCCCTGGTTTCTAATATTATATCTTTATAATTGTGTAATAACAACTATAGTAGGTTTAATGGTGGCTATTTCCATGTCCCAATCCCCTAAACTGTAACATTACATTGTGTAGCAAAACATACATTAAGTTAAGGTTCTTGAGATGATCTTATTCTGGATTATCCTGATGGGCCCTAAATGAAATCACATGTATTCTTAAAATACAGAGAACATCAAAGAGAGTTTAGAGACCAATACATAGAAAGATGACAAAGAAAGGAGATGGCTATGTGAAGATGGAAGCAAAGCAGAAAGACAAGTGACCACAAGACACAGAATACCACTATGGTCACCAAAAGCCAAAAGAGGAATGGAGCAAAGGTCTTCCAGAATGCCTCTTTAATGACTGCTAGTTGGCCTCCAGAAGTGTGAGAATAAATTTCTGTTCTCTCTGGTTTTTTTTTTTTTTTTTTAATTTGGTGGTTCTGCAGTTTGAACTCAAGGCCTCACACTTACTAGACAGGCACTTCACCCATTCTACCAACTATAAATTTCTGTTCTCTTAAGACACCAAGTTTGTAATAATTTGTTACAACTGTCCTGGGAAATTAGTACAATGTTAGTGGCAGATCATTTATAAAAGCATGAACCTAATATTGTACTGTAAGTTTCTTTCTTACATCCACAACTGCATAAGTATACAAAGACACGTGTACACGATGTTCAAAGAAAGTCACCATAAAATGGGCAAATTTTTTGTACATTCACAAAAAAGCATTAATTTGACACAACTGTAAAAGGAATGAGGCAGATTTGTATGCACTAATGTGGAGAGAATGTACAGTAAGTTACATAAGTATAATAAATGAATAAAATAGTAAACTGTAGAACAGAAAAATATGATTCTAGATATTTTAAAGTTTATACACATAAGTCTTTAGCATGTTGCTCTGGATTGGTGAACAATACTCCAAAGTGTGATGCTTTGACATGCTGAGCTAGAAAAACAGTAATATAATCAAGATCTCCATCCATCCTTCCTCCCCATCTATTCTCTTACTCTTCTTTCTCTCCCTAAGGTTCTGGAAAGGGCTTTAATGTTGTATTCCCTTATCTACCTTAACTGGACCTGAAAAAGAGAGGACAATTACTATCCAGCTTCCCACTAAAATCCCATTACCTACAGCAGAAAAGAAGGCTGAAGAATGTTAGTATAGCTAGACAGAGTTTTGTCACAAGATTTCTGTGTCTAGGACTCATTCAAATTCCAAAGAGAATCAATTATAAATTGATGCCTGCCTCCCAGATCCATTCATATTCTAATAACCACTTACTACTCCCTCACAAAGAATTGCCCACACTCCCCTGCCTCCATCCTCCCTCTGTCTTATGATGAAACCTTACAAGCATCTAAATTTCCCTGGTAGGTGAGTAATCACACTCCTGTGATTTTCCCCTGTACATATTAAGCAAATTTGCATGCCTTCTTCTCCTATTAATCTGTCTGTTGTCAGTCCATTCCAAAACCTTCAGAGGAGGTAGAGGAAGATTTTGTTTTATCTTTACAATGTACATACATTTATATAAACATACAAATTATCTACAACATTACATAAATAGCCATTATGAGCAAGAAACTTTGTAAAGGACCTATGTATAATTAGTGTACATTTAAAATTATATAACGACTATTTTATAGGTTCAGAAAAGACAATGACCACGTTTTT